TATATATATATATCCTGCCCACACTAGACTCATGGATCTGTGGAGCATTCAGCTGGTTTTGAGTAACAGCTGTCTCCTTTAAGTAGGGAATCTATTTCTCACTTGTCAACTTTTCTCCTATGTATAATCCAACTTTCCCATTTAGGAATTTGGTGTTTTAATTCTCTACCATCTGAAGGATACATACACTAAAAGTTAAAGAGATATCATTTGATAGCTAGTCAAGTTAAAGGAAAGAAGCTAGAATTGATGTTTTCTGTTACTTTGTGTATGAAATTAGACTTCCAAATTATGGACTGTACAGGTATTGATGAATATTCTTTCAAATTTTCATTGGTGATGCCTGAATAATTTCTTAACTGGAAAAGGGACTAAAGATGCTGAGTGAGTTAGCTTTGTGTTACAGGCTGTAGACTTAACAGAGGTAGAGAAATAAGTACTTAAAGTTGACCAACAAATCTCCAAATTAGAGATTTTTTTTTCAGTACGTAAAATTGAAATTTGAAGCAGTTCCTATAAAAATAGTACTAAACTATATAACTCTCGGCTTATGGAAGTGAAATCCTAATGCTGATCTGAGACTCAGGACTATTTTCTGTAATTGAACATGCTTAGGTTTTAAATGCTACCTCTGGATTTAAGGTTTTGGTTTCTTGTTTGTGTATCTCAACCTGAAAAGCCTGCAGTTCAAATGCTGCTGTGTGACAAATTGATCTGTGTAGGTATTCCTAAATGGACCTACCAAGTGCCCTTTAGCCAGGCAAGGAATATAAGCTAGAAGAATCATACTAGTATAAGGATATTTTTCTGAAAAAATGCAACTACATGAAGAATTTAAGAAATAGGTAAAAGTCTTTCTTGAGAAGAGACTTGTTCCAGGTTATACATTTGGGTTAGACTTCCCAACTTTTATAAGTGGATGTTATCCCAATATTAGTTGGGAATCTAGAGTACAGTCTTTTCCAGTTATATTGATGTACAAGTTATATGTGCTAAACATTTCAGTTGTACAGATCAGTGAATTTTAATAAATTTACAGAATTTGTTCAGACTTCACCACAATCTCTTCTTGAGCTTATTACCCACATGTCTCTTATTCCTGTTAGTAGTGAATCCTCTTCCCTTACATCCTTAATCCCAGGCAATCTCTAATCAGTTTATCTATAGAGTTGCCTGTTCTGGGCATTTTATATAAATGGAATTATATATAGTTTTTCTTTTTTTTCACTTGACTTGTTTTTAAATTTATCCAAGTCATAGTATATCATATTACTCTTACTGGTAAAACATTTTCGGCATGACTTGAACATTGCAGTTAAGCAAAGAGGTTAAAGTTATCTCTTGCTTTAAATTTCCATCTTCATGATAGAAATTAATCTTTATCTCTAGCAGAAATTCTTTGACAGTTGGAAAATTGTCAAAAAGTATCTGTCGTGAGTTCGAGCATAGGCAGTGAATTGACATTTTGTAAATTTAGATGTTCTTTGAGATGGAATATATACAAAGTTTTTCTTGGACAGTGTCTTATGTGATATATCTAAAACTAAAGAGAAATACTTGAAAATGTTCAAATTTTGATCCAGCTGATATTATTACAAATATATAATCCTATAAGAGAAATATGGTTTGTTTATGTATATTGTGTAACCAAAATTATTTAATGGCATATTTGAAAATCTGTTCAGTGAGTTTCTTAGATGTTATTTTCTCACAATTTTCTAAATTATGATAACATGATATTTCTTTTTAATTTAAGATGTTTTTGTGTATAACAACCTGTTTTATAGCTGGTTAAGATTACAAGCTCAAATCCTGTTAAAATTTGTTTAGAACAGTTTTTGTTAGAATTTTTCATGTGACTAATCTGGTGGATTTTTTTTACTGAGTTGTTGCAAACTTCTGTAAATCTTAAATATTATCTTTAGTATTGTCTCCTGTATTTTATCTTTCACGCTGAAATTAAACTGCCTTTGTTTGCTGCTATAAATTGCCATTATGATTCATCATTGAACATCTACTGTACTCTTCTATTCCTTTTTATTGTGCCTGGTTAGAGTATATGCCTGTGTGTCTTCACCAGATGCTGCCTCAGTAATATGCCTTTGTTTCCATGCTTAAAATTTTCAAAAATTTTAACTGGAAAATAACTATAAAATAGTAAGTAAAAATTTATAATGATTTATGTAACACTAACTTTGCTGTCTGCGTAGGTATACTCCTGTGCTTTTTGCATAACATGCCCATGTAAACCTATTGAGATATTTATCTGTGCATAGAAAAAAGACACCTGACTAAATGAGTCTTTGATCCTGACTACATTGTCAATGTGTTTATATGTGACACTAAAAATAATGTACGTTCCTGTATAAGTTACAATTGTCCTATGAGATGCAGTGTTTAAAGTGAATTGTAGTTCTATTAAATAAAATTGATCAATGAAAAAATGCACTCTGCTTTTTTTTTTTTTTTCTTGTATTTTAGGAAAGGGGCTACAGGGTGTTCAGGGTCTCACTACTAGATCAGACTCATAGTGATTCACCTGTTTACAGCCTCCCAAGAGGTGGCATTACAGATGCACACCACCACGCCCAGCCCAGTCTCAGCGCGCCCCGGGGCAGGGGGCGCGGCCAGCACAACAGCCCTGGGAATTGAACCCCTGGCTCCTGCACCTGCTTGCAGGCACTTTAATCCACTCAGCTATTTGGCTGGCCCAAATTTTTGGATTTTGAAATGTGGGATATTTGAATTTCCAGTTCTTTAATAGTCTCAAGTGGTTACCATATTGTGCAGTAAGAGTTAGACAAAGCAATGCTGTCTGCAGAGAAGCCAACAGGTCTCAATGTGTTAACTTGATAAAATACATTTCCAGGCAGCCCTTCCAACATTTCACAGCCATGCTGTTCAGAACGTGTGGCCTCCAAAGTCAGCCAAACACTGACCTACAAACAGCTTAGAAGGAGACATCCCAAGTGGATAGCAAGATATCCAGGACAGTGCAGAGAAAACAAAGGAGTTTTCCCGGACATTTGAAAATTTGGAGATTACAGTGACAAATGAAGGACGAGCTATGACTTACATTGTTTGGAACTAGCAAATGGAAGTGTTAGGTATCTTTTTTTGGACTAGGGGCACTGTGGAAAAATTATTAAGGTGCCAAAGATACTTTAACCAAGAAACTTTGGAACCCTCTGACTTAAAATTACTTCTGCTGGCCAGAAATCAGTCACATAGGCCCTAATCTAATTTCAAGGAGGGATAGGAAATAGTCTTCATCTTGTAGTGAGCACATAAGTTGTTTTTACCTTTTTCCCATCAAACCCTTTCATTCCTTCCATGTGTACTTGTTTTCTGCAAGAAGGCAGTCCAGGCTGATGTGATCAATGTTTCCAACTCAATCTAGGGTCTCTGAATTAGCTTTTCAAGTTTCACAAATATTTTTGTCTTTGAGATCTTAAATGTTAATGCTTTGTAATATTTCCTGAAGTGAGTAACTTCTCCAGGAGGATCTATGGTTTGTTTTTAAAAAGTCCTGGTGATCAGCCTGGGGCCTATAAACTGGCTAACATTTTGGAGCAGACAGAAAAAAAAAAAAAAAAAAAGCTGGTTGGATAGGAGTTGGAGTTCATTGTTTTATCTACATGGGCTTCCTCCCCAGCCTTTACTTACAGTCTCACATCTCCTTTCTATCTTTCTCCAGACCCAGCATCCCAAGTTCATCTTTTAAGTTCTGTTTGGTGAGAGATAATACTTCTCTTTGCCTGTAGTGGGACTAATAATCACCTGACCAAACATGTTAGGCAGGATCAAGCTGCTTTACACATATTTTCAAGTATTATCTCTTAGCCTATAATTTCTTCCTCCAAGGGCATCTGATATCTCTGTTCTTAGATTCTCAGATTTCATCACTACCCCGTCGAAAGATGGTTGCCTATTTTGGAGCTGAAATCTTTTATGATTTGTCAAATGTGAGCCCCTTAAAGCTGGCTTCTGATATTTATTTATTTATTTATTTATTTATTTGGTGGTATCAGGGATCAAACTCAGGACCTTGCACTTGCCAGGCAAGCACTTATTCCACTGAGCCTCTCCCCAGCCCCTTCTGAATTCCTTTGACATGACTTCATTCCAGATTCCAGATACCAGAAAGAACTTCTTTGCTTTCTGGTATCATATGTTCTAGGCTCTTCTTGTATCTTCCCTTCTCCAGCTCTGGAATATGCCATCTTTTAGTGAGCTGTGACTCCTTTTAGTGGAGATCTATATGCAAAGGTCATATCCTTGGATAATGATATGATCATTGCTGTTTCGATATCAAGTTGTGGTTGCTAGATCTACATCACTGACCAAATCAGCTGATTAGTAAGAAAACAGGACAAAAACCAGAAAATTTTGTTATTTAATTTTATTTGTTAGCAAATTTGTACATAAGAATCAGAAATCAAACAGCACAAGAGTTAATACAGTATAAAGTTTTTCTTTTTTCCTCGTCCTGCTGGCATTCCTCCCTTCTCTTCCTTGAACACATACTGGTAGCTTATTACATCTTTCCAAGGTTATTGCCCAATTGTTTCATTGTAGAGATTTATCTGATTATTCTGCTTTATGATGCCAGAATGGATTAACAGAACCAACATCTTTCAGGTACTGAATCTTCCTATCTAAGATTTGTTACAATAATGGAAAACTAACACAGATTCCAATGCTATTATTTGTTGTCAAAAATCAGAAAAAGATGTAGCAGGTAGTGAACCGCTGGCTGTGGTTCACTATGAAACTTAACATTATTTGTGACTAATTACAGACAACTTAAATGTATTTAATTGACTACATCATTCTATTTCTTAGATTATTTGGATAGTATACATTCTTACTGAGTAGTGAAAGCGTAAGTAGTCATCCTCATCATGCTATGATGATTCATCTGCCAATTTCTCATGCTTCCACAACGGCTTTCCCCAAGTTTTCACCTTTCAGCAGTCCCATAAATGCAGCTGGCATGTTTTCAAATCCTTTGACAATGTGTTCACGATACTGGATTTTGCCCTGTATCAAAACAACAATACATATTGATTTCTTATTCCAAACTTTTTCTCATGTTAGCAACAAATTTATCATTTATTCTAACAGTTCATAAGGTGAAGGCATGTTTCCTGTGCACTGAAAGTTAATCTTGAAGGCAAGACCCCTATACAAACTGTAACAGATTATAAAGTACACATAAGAAAGTGGCAGGTCTGAGGACTGGTGCATGCAATGATTAGGTATTTGCTAAGTAAGTTATATAGAAAAGCTTAATAAGGCAATGATTCCAGAAAAGGTGGAAATAGAGAAGGGAACATCACTGCCAGATAATGTCTGAGTTATGGTTTGTATCTGGCTCCACCCCCACCCCAAGCCCTAGACTCTGACAGGGGGCTTTTATGAGGTGACTGGATCATGGGTCTTGATAATTACCAATGGATGAATCACTAATGAGATTATAACTAAAAGTGTTTAGGGGCTTTGTCTCTGGATAGCCCCCCCCAAAGCCTCATGTGGTCATAGGGCTTTTACAGAGGTAGCTGAATCTAGACTGTGTGATGCTGGGATTAAGGGTACATGATTGCTAATCAGTCTACTGATTGGTTTGGCATCACCCTAATCCCAGCAGTCTGGATAGGATATAAGGAGTAGAAAAACACTGTCAAATCCCCTTATTGCTTTGCTTTTGCTGTCTTCCACTGTCATGCACTGCTGTCCCTCTGCCATGTGCCACCCTGTCTTGGAGCATGGCAGTTATGGACTGGAACCTCTACAAACTCTGAGCTAAACAACCCCTCCCTCCTTTAACTTTAGGTGCTGGGTGTTTTGTGTCAACAACAAAAGTAAGACAGGAAGTGAAGCCTGATTGGAGGTGGAGGGTCCTGGTGAGGCAGGGGGCAGGGCTGGGTCTCTCTCTTCCTCTACCCCCTTTTTTTTTTTAATGTATTGGGTATGGAGTTTCACTATGCAGCTTGGACTCATAGTGATGCTCCTGTTTTCAGCCTCCCTAGCACTAGGATTACAGGCATGCACTACCACACACTGGATCTTGGTGGCCAGCTCAGTGCAACCGGTGGTGGGGTCAATGGGGCATGTACTCATGGGACCCAACAACAGTCCCCAGGCTTGCCTAAGCAGGCGCTTAGTCCCTGAGCTATCTCGCTGGCCCTTTCCTTCACCCCTGGTTTTTGTGCTTCCTGCCACCATGCCAGAAGCTGCTTCTCCTCTGTTATGCCCCTGTGCTATGGCATCCTGTCTCAGACTTAGGGACTTAACCCTTTACAAACGGAGCCAAAATAAATCTTTCCTCCCTTAAATTGTGACTGTTGCATATTATGTCCCAGCAACAAGGACGTAACTGAGACAGTCTGTTTCAAAAGTCACTTCTAATAGCCAAGCCATGCAGAGTAATTACCCTATTTGGGCTCTGCAGATGGTGGAGCGTGTTCAGGAAGTATCAACAACCTCAGCTTTCCAGTAATTTGTATCCCCCTCAGGCCAAGGACCTTTCAATTTGTGCTTAACATTTATTTAGGATCAAGGAAAGGAAGGGCTCACTTTACTGAGGAAGGTTTTTCCTTTTCGTTTTTACTCCAAGGCACACAGTCTACTATGTAGAACTAATTTACATTTTCAAATTCTTCCAAGCAGTCTATGTCGAGACTGGAACTACCTGAAAGCATTTTTTCTTTCATGTACTCTACTGATGGTTGACCTCATGTACGAACTTGTGAACAGAATTATTTGCTTTAAGTCACTCAGAAAAGAGAAGCTCTGGAGCTTAAACCCTTCCCTTGAAAACCCCAACTCATGGTGACTTAGAAAAGCAGAATATCACAATAGGATGGAAAACTGGCCTCCAGTTTAATGATTAAAGGAGATAAATGCTGTTAGGGACTGAAATGTGAAGCCTCTCTTCCCCAATTCATACATTAGAATCCTAACCCCCAGTACCTCCCAATGTGAGTGTATGTGGAGACAGGGCTTCAAAGAAATAATCTGCATGCATCTTCCTGAAAGAGCTAAAGATATCTTATTACAGTAGTACATGCATACCCATGTTTATAACTGCATAATTCACAATAGCTAAATCTTGGATGTAGCCTCTATGCCTATCAACAGTTAAATGGATTAAAGAAAATGTGTTTATGCACAATACAGTACTATTCAGCCATAACAAAGGATAAATTTAAGTCATTTATAAGAAAATGGAGCCAGGCATCATAGCGCATGCCTGCAATCTCAGCACTCGGAAAGCTGAGGCAGAAGAGTCACCATGAGTTCCAGGCTAGCCTGGGCTACATAGTGAGACCCTATCTCAAAAAAAAAAGAAAAAAGAAAAAAGAAAAAAAGATACAACATGAAAATGGAGTGCTCGCTTCGGCAGCACATATACTAAAATTGGAACGATGTAGAAAAGATTAGCATGGCCCCTGTGCAAGGATAACATGCAAATTCGTGAAGCGTTCCATGTTTTTTTTTTTTTTTTAAAAAAAGAAAGAAAATGGATACATCATGAGATCATAATGTTAAGTGAATTAGGCACATGAGCTCACATATTGCATAGCTTCTCTTATATGAGGAACTCAACATAAAATAGCAAAGTAAAAGACAAACAATAAACATTGCCAGTGAAACGGAAGACCCAATACTATTATAGACTACTGGACTCTTTTAGAATGTTTTTCTGAGTTAACACACCTATAATATTCAAATAATGGAACTTAACAAAAAAAAAAGGGGGATCCAGATGAATGTTCATTTTGTATCTGTGTATTCAAAATGCTTAGGATAGATATATAGCTGCATTCTCTTTACGAATAGAGGGATTTGTTCTAATAGTGTCTGTAGGTAGGGTATCATGTCCACATCTTGTGCAGCAATTAACCACTAGGAAGAATGTATGCATTGTGTTAATTATTGAAACTGTCCTATCAATTTGTTTTGAAAAAAATAAAATAAAATAAAATAAAAAGAAAGCAGAGAGGTAGACCTTTTGCAAAAGGGAAGGCAGCTGAGACATGGAGAGGTGGGAGGGAGGGTAGGAGAATGCATGAACAAGGACTTAAGATGTGCTATGGGCATGTACCAGCTCCTCATGAGGAACATCATCATCATGTACCAAACCAAAAATAAAAAGTGGGGGGGAAAAGATACAGTCAGGCCATATTGGTAGGTCGCGATCCAATAGGACTGCTGTTCTTATAAGAGATTAAGACACAATGAGAAGACTATGTAAAGATGCAGGGAAAGGCCTCGGAAGAAACAATCCTGTTGACACCTTGGATGCCAGATTTCCAATGTCCAGAAGAGGGAGAAATAAATGCCTTTGTTTAAGCAACCCAGTCTGTTGCTTTAAACTCTGTTATGTAGCCCTAGAAAATTAACACAAATACTAATGTGAAATGTTAATGATGGGAAATTTAATGTATAGATACAGAAACTGTGGGAGCTTTCTGTATTATATTATATTAAATGGTTCTAAAATAAAATGTATATTTAAAAAAAAAGATGAGTGGGAAAGGGGAAGCTTAGAATTCATTAGTGACTTAAAATAGAAACCATTCAGCTTCACTGTTAGAAACACTACGGACAGCATGAAACCAGCACAGGGGTTGCTTCTTGTTAGCTGTGATTATGGAAAGGCAGGCAAGATTGTGTTTTTCCAATGAGGACAAAGAGGCAACACACTGGGAATTTAAAAATAATTCAGCTCTTCGCAGGATTTTAGAGAGCCCAGCCTAGCACTCCAAGTGTTAGACTGGGAAAACTGCCAAGCTCCAGCGGCTGCCAGAGGAGTAATTTATTTCTTTGAATTGGGAAATGGCCATAAGCCGGTAATTAGGAAGCCATTATATTACCATTCTTCTCCAAAACTAAAACAATGAGCCTTGATCCTTTAGATTCCAGTTGACTAAAGTTCCACTATGATAAGGTGGAAAAATGATCACAGCTCAAAAAGAAAAGGGTTCCTCTGGATCTGAAGGCATGATTCTAAGAAGGCTCTTTATGATCTAGGACCTAGGACAGCCATGGCTCATTTATGTACCCCCTACTGTTTATCTATCAACAACTTTTTTTTTTTTTTTTTTTTTTTTTTGGTGGAACCAGGGATTGAACTCAGGCCCTTGTGCTTGCCAGGGAAGCACTTATTCCACTGAGTCATCTCCCAGGCCCCTATTCAACAACTTTTATCTAATGCCTGTGGGTATATTTCTTTTCTTTTGGTGTTTGGGATTAAACCCACATCATCAGCATGCTAAACATGTACTCTACCACTGTGCTACACCCTCCAAGCCCTTTAATGCTTACATTGATTCAAACCCTATTCCGGGTGCTACAAATATATGAGAAAATTAAGCATATGAATATTGTTGCCTTCATGGTGGTTATAATCTCATGGAAGGGAGATGGCAATACATACAAATGGGCTTGCTGTGGGTAAAAAGGACCAACGAGGATCAGAAATAAAGGGATACTTCACCTTAAAATAAGGTTCTTTTAAAATTTCCCTCATTCATTCTAATGTTCTACTGCATACTATTGTTGCATCCTATTAACTACATAATTCAAAATAGCTAGCAGAGAAAATGTTGAATAGTGTTCCAACCAAAACAAAATAATAATAATTAGAAGAGAAGAACTGCCATGATTGATATGGTGAATGAAGCCTGAGTACGTAGCAGGTTTAGCAGGAATGATTAAAACATAATTAGTTTTTGATGTGTATTGGGCACCCAGGTACAGCTACTGAGCAGTCTGATCTTCAAAGGAGATAGAAATGTGGGGGATCTCGGCATATTGATGGTATTTAAAGCCATGGCCTGGCTGAGCTAGTCAAAGGATCATGCGTGTGAGTAGGGAAGAAAAGCGACCCAGAGCCCGTGCCTCAGGTACTTGATTATTAGTTTGGAGAGAAGCCAGAAGAGAAGTCTGCAGAAGATTAATTAATGAGGATATCAAAGAGTGAAGGAAAGCCAAAGGAAAAAAAATACATCGATGGAGAGCAATCACTCTAAAATATTCCCTCACAGCCAGGCAATAGTAAGGACAGACCTGTTCGTGTCCCAATGTGAGGTAACCCTGAAGAAAGTAGTTTTTGTACAATGGCAGCAGTGCAAAAGCCTGACACATGGGTTCAAGAAAGGATAGAAAGATAGAAGCTACGTGAATGTGTGTATATAACATGTCCAGTGGGACAAAGTGGAAAAGCAGTGAAATGGACTCGAAAGTGCAGTGGAAGTGGAACTTGAGAGGATTCTTTTTTGTTTTCTTTTTTAAGATGGGAAAAGAGAGAAGAATGTTTGTCTTTGAAAAGCAGTGATCCAACAGGCAGGAAGAAACTGGTGATGCAGCAGAGGGAAGGACTGGTGAACTAATGATTTTGATTAGCAAACCTCAAAGAGATCTAGCATATAGTGGAAGAGTGGTTGTGGAGCTACTTACTTCTACAGTCCATTTCATCAACTCTTTCAGGGCTTTCTCACGGACCTCCCCTTGCCACCTGGTGAACACGAACGCTTCCACACGGAGTTGCTTATAGATGAAAATCTCTGGGGGTGGACCTGAAAGCAGAGGGCATGTTTGGATGACAGGGTCCATGGAAGTGTCAACTTGCTGTGATTGCCAACAACACTGTGTGGAAAACAAAGTCACAGCCACAACAGCATCCACTTTCAAAACCTGTGAATATTTTACCTTACTTTGCAAAGAAGATTTTGCAGATGTAATTACATTAGGAGTCTCGAGATGGGGAGATTATTCTCTGTTATACAGTTAGTCTCGATATAATGATAAGCACTCTTGTGAGGGAAAGAGGGAAGGGGGGCCAGGAATACATGATGATAGAAGGGAAGATTGGGAAAGGCAGATAGGAGCAGGAAGTAGGAGGAGAGCTATGCTGCTGGCTTTGAAGAAAAAGGGCCACGTGCTAAGGAGTAGAGGTGACTTCTAGAAGTTCAAACAGATCCTCCTTGAGAACTTCTACAGGAAAGTGGTCCGGGTGACAAGTTTAGAATTTTGACTTCCAGAAGAATGTGAGTAAATATGCACTGCGTTAGCCACTGAATTGGTGGTGATTGGTTATTGCAGCAATAGGAAACAAATGCACACTAAGAGTCCTTGCGCGTGTAGGCCAGGCAGCATTCATGTAAGAAAGGGACCACTCCTGTATGAGACAGAGTAGGTTGCATTGGCTTCTAGGTTTATTTTCCCAAGGATCCTAAGTGGCCAGCAATGGAGAGAACACCTAAATATACTCTTTCAAGTTCTAAGAAGTCAGGCAAAGATGCCTAAGGGATAGCAGAGCCAGAAAAGGGAAGACAACTCGTGCAAACTATGCTTCACATCTTAGGTAACTAGTGTTACTCAAGCATAAAGTTTTCCCTCTTTATTTTGATTCTTTCTTTCTTTCTTTCTTTCTTTCTTTCTTTCTTTCTTTCTTTCTTTCTTTCTTCTTTCTCCTTGGGGGCACATACCAGGAATCAAATCTACTCCTTAATTTGGAGAAGACAGCATCAGTGGGAAAGTCAAGCTTTGTCCTGAACCACGGAAACGAATGCATAATGAGTGAAGCAGCCAAATACTTCTTTGGAAAACACCAACAGTATTTCTGTTTGAGTTGAGTTTAATGTACTTTACCTCCAGTCCTTGGTTGTCCTTGTTTTGTTTCTCTGCTGCCTGTTATGCCCTCCAAACACCACTTCCAACTCTCTTACACTGAAGTTGCCCCTTTTTCTCCGCGCTCACAGAGAGCCAAAAGCAGTACCAACAAGAACTGCATGGATTACTCCCAGGCCGATGAGGCATCTTTTTTTTCTTTAAATCATTTCTTTCTTTCTTTTCTTTCTTTCTTTCTTTGATACAGGATCTTATGCAGCTCAGATTCATAGTGATCTTCCTGTCTCACCCTCCCCAGTCCTGGGATTAGAGGCGTGGGTTACCCCAGGTGCACCTGGGGTTCTGGGGCTAGCACAGTATACGGTACCAGGGATAGAACCCAGGTCCTTGTACTTGCCAGGCAAGAGCTAAGACTGCTAAGCTATCTCCCCAGCACTAATGAGACATCTTGTACAGGTCTCATTTTATGGAAAGGAAGATGAACAAGCACAGACTCCTTAAATCCCATTAGCAATACATTCAAAACAAAGACCAGCGTTCTGGGTCCAGGATACAGCTCAGTGGCATAAGTGACTGCCTGGCAAGCACAAGGTCCTAAATGCAATTCCTGGGACCAAAAGTGAACAAAAAAGGCCAGTGTTTTGAATTCCTCAAATAAGGTCATTTTCTGCTCTAAACATTCTGTGCTGTTATACAAATACAGATTTACCTATGGTCTCAAAAATGGGGAAAGGAAAATAAAAAGAAATCTTTTAGATTATAGTCAGGATCTAGGCAAACACCAATCAGTTGGTTACTCATTTTATACCAGCCTTGATTCATGAAAATGAACGCTCATACTCACACTAATAAACAAGACAACCACAGGAAAACAGCTGAACTTACAGCAGAAGGGGCTGAGCTATGAAAACTCAAAGCAATGACCTTCTCCAAGAAGGAAAGTCAGACTCATTTGGCAATGTCATCGTTAGAGACCTTTTCCTTCTATATTTCTTAATTGATCCCAAGCTAGTATCACAGCAAATCATGTTTCAATCAGTCAAGCAAAGGCCCAAGATGCATTTTCTTAACGGCAGTCTAATGAGGTATAGCCAAATATTTTGCTTACAGGAACTTACCTGATCTAGTCTTTTTAGCAGTTATTGTTTGGAAGTTCAGTACTCAGATAGGTCATGGGGATGTGAGCTGACCTTGGCCATTCCATTTTAACCAGAGGAAATTCTGCCTTGCCTCTGATTCCCACAAATCCTTATGTATTCCACTATTAGGACAGCTCCACCAATTTTATTGCTACATTTGCTGTTTTGGGCCCGTGGACATAGCTCAGTAGAATAAGCACTTGCCTGGCAAGCGCAGGGTCCTGAGTTCAATCCCCAGTACCACAAAAAAATCTGTTTTGCTCTCAAAAAAGACACCAACATTCCCATCAGCCATGCTATGCCATGCTCTTTCAAGTTGAGAAAATAGGGCTTCCTAAGGTAGCCTACACTCTAGGACTCGCTGTCCAAGATTGTGAAGAACAGGGCAGACAGCTTTTCCCTTCCCCTGTATTAAGACGCTCCACTCAACCCACACCTTTAACAATAGGACTGATACCATGTTTCTAAATCAAATCTTGGCTGTCTTTCCATAAAGCCAAAGAATATAATAGGTGAGCACAACTTTAAATAACTGTAACTGTTTCTTCCACACTTGTTGATCCCTCTGCTTTTAGTATTGCAAGGTCACTCAAGCAGATTGAGTACCAAATATTTGAAAACCACGGTTTTATTTTAATAAATGCTATTTCATTATCATTGAGACTATCAGGCAATGTTTCCTATGTGCTGGCAGTTACTGGTCTATGCAGTATCTGTGACTATTCCCTTATCTAGTACTCCTACATCTGTGATCCTCTGTATGAACTTGTTACCTGGGGGCATTTGGCCGGTGCGGTTATACACAGAGATGGCCCCACAGACTGCAACTCTTCCAAATTCCTTCATCTGGGGTATAACAGTGTTCGAGAACTCGCCACCTACCTAAACAGACAGGAAAACGAACAAGCAAACACTTTGAATAATGTATTGACCACATTTAAGAGAATTGTTAAATCATAGTCATTATTTCACAGTACTGTTTTAGTAGCAAAAAAACTGACAGGGCCAGTAATGCTGGCACATGCCTGTAAGCGCAGCTACTCCAGTGGCTGAGGCAGGAGGACGATAGTTCAAGGCCAGCCCAGGGAACTTAGCAAAACCCTATCTCAAAATAAAACGTTTTAAAAGGGCTGTACACATAGATGAGTGGTATAATGTTTGCTTGGCATGTGCATACCCTGGGTTCAGTTCCCAGTAACACACACAAAACAAACTTTAACAAAGAGAGTTAATTAAATTAGCACAGCTGTACAGAAAATTACAGTTACAAAAATACATTAGAAACAGACATTTGCATTTGACTCTAGGAACACATAATACCATAAGCTTTATTTATTATTATTTATTTTTATGTATTTAGTACAAGGTCTACAGGGTCTCACTGCATAGATTGGACTCATAGTGATTCTCCTATTTTCAGCCTCCCAAGCGCTGGGATTACAGGCATGCACCACCACTCCCAGTCTCAGTTGTCATCTCAGCACGTCCTGGGAGCGGGGCCGGCATGGCAAGCTGGGGATCATGAACCCAGGCTGTTGCGCTCTGCCTAAGCAGACACTTTAGTCTGTTGAGCTATCTGGCTGGCCCTATAACATAAACTTTAATTTGGTGAACACTATGGTTCTCTAGTCGGCCAAATAGTTTCACTATCCCATAACTGATACACGGAAAAATATTGAAAGGACATAGACAGAACAACATTGGAAGGCTCACACTGGCCAAATTCAAAGCTCACTGCAAACCAAAACTAAGCAAACTCAGCCTGAGAATAGAAATCCAGATCAGGGGTAGGGAGATAGCTCAGTGGTCTACGCACTCTCCTGGCAACCTCAAGGACCTCGGCAGCCCTGTACCAAGTAAATAAGTAAGCAAATAAACAAATAAATGAACAAAATACAAATCAGTGGAACTGAATTGAGAATATTAAAAAATGAACACTTATGTTCTATTGATTTTCAACATGAATATCCAAACAGCTCAACAGGAGTGGCAAAGGCTTTTAAACAAACAGTACAGAAAACCTGGATATTCATCTGGAAACCACAGAGGACCACTTCCTCCCACTATAAACATAAATTAACTGAAAATGCAATATAGACATGAATATAAATAAAGCTGTGAAATCTGAGAACTTGCACAGGAGTAGATATGGGTGAACTTCAGTAAGGCAAAGCTTTTTAGACATGACCCAACAAAAGGAAAATACCAGAAAACTTAGACTTCCTCAGAATATAGAACTTTTATGCTTCAAAGAGTACCTCTGAGAAAGTGAAGATAAATGACTCAAGGAAAACGTGAAAATAGCCACAAACCTCATATTTGTAAATTGGGATACACGCTAGAATGAATTCAGAATGTCAACATCAAAACTCAGAGATTTTCCTGGTGATTTGCAGACCTGAATAGAACAGCAACAAGAGACAACTGTTCCCAGCGGAGACTAAAGGAGGAGGATAACTGACTGCTTTTTGTTTCCACTCTCAGCAGACATAACTGGATGGAGCCCATCAGGGGCGGGGCAGTGCAGCTTCTCTGCCTGTGAGCACGAACTCCGGGGTTGGGGGGATCAGCAGGTGGAGCAGCCAGAGGCAAGCTACTGAACGCTTCTGAACCTCACTTCCTCTTTTGTAAAGTGAAGAAAATAAAAAATGCTATGGAGTGTTGTTTTTTAGTATCTAACATTATTTTTAAAATGTATGCATTTGTATGCAATTTTTACTAAAAGCAGTGGTTTAGGGGTCCTAGTGACTCCACAGAATGTAACTGTTATGAATAATGAAATTTAATTTTACTAGATATATAAGAAATTTGTAAATCCCCAGAAGTAACCCATCTGGAAAATAGGCACAGGATTTGACAGGATTTGAGTATGTATTTCTCCAAGGAAATACACAAATGTATGAAAAAAAAAATCCTAAATATTACTAGGCATCAGAAAAAGCAAATCAAAACCACAAGGAAATACTTAAAGGCCACTAAGATGGCTACAAGAAGAAATTAGATAATTATAAGGGTTGGTAAAAATATGGAGAGTGGGGCCGGTGAGATGGCTCAGAGGAATAAGCACTTCCCTGGCAAGTGCAAGGGCCTCAGTTCAATCCCCGGTTCTGCCAAAAAAAAAAAAAAAAAAAGGAGAAACTGTAACCCTCACAAATTGCTGGTGGGAATATAAAATAGTATCATCACTTGGCATAATAGTTTGGCAGTTCCTCAAAATGGTTAAATATGAAGTTTATGACCTAGCAATTCTACTCATAGGTGGATGTATAAGGCTAATGAAAATAGGTTTACACAAAAACTTGTACATGAATGTTCATAGCAGCATTAGAGTATAGCATGAAAATTTGGCATTTCCTATATTGGACTATTTTTTCAGCGACAAAAAAGAATGAAGTACTGATAAACACAACAATGTGGATGAACCTTGGAAACATTTTTCTAAGTGATGAGAGCCAGTCGTGAAAAGTCATTTAGGGGCAAGAAAATGAGTTACTAATCTGTCACAAAGATGGATAAATTTCAGTCAGTTTTATGAAAATGGTTATACCTTGAGCCCATAATCTTAAGTGAAATCAGATACACAAACTTAAATATCTCATGATTTTTTTTTCATGATTTCTTTTATATGAGAAACTTGGAATAAAGAGCAAAATGAAAGATAATACATAGGAAGTACGGAGCTAGATCCTTCTCAAATGGGAAGAGGATCAAGAGGTTGCGAGCTGGGAGGAACAAGAACAAGGAATGAAGAAAAGTCATTCAGATGTGCTATGTACACATGCTGGCTCTCCACAAAGAATGTAAAAATGGCAAACATGTACTGATAAAAAAGATTTTAGAAGGCATGTGTATTTTCTTCATATATTTTATATAGGAAGTTTAGAAATACATTCCTTTATATATTACTTTATCAATTAATCAGATAACCCCAGTTCACACTTACATTATCAAAATAGCAATCATAACCATCAGGGGAGGCTTTTCTCAATGCATCTTCCAAAGAGTCGACTGTCTTGTAGTTAAAAGCAACATCAAATCCAACTTGTTTAAGAAAGGCAACCTTCGCATCAGACCCCGCAGCTCCAACAACTTTGCAGCCCTAAACAGGGAGAAAAATGGCGAGCATTAGCGAGCCAGAAACATGAACTAAGCCCACTTTCCTACTCTGGTGTGGTCAGGTTCCCCAAGGACACACTTGATGTGCAAAGAATATCTACTCACTCATAGGCCAACTCACGCTGTGGGTAAAATTAGTCCCCACGTCAGTCTACAACCCAGCTCCGCTTGCCTGGCCGCCCAGCGGATCCCTTCTATGTCGATTGGATTTGCGATTCATCTCAACCTGCTGCTTCAACCACCTATCTATTTGACTTTCTGAGTGTTTCATGTGGGCACGCTTCTTCCCTGTCAAAAATAAGTACGCCATCTCTTGGGGCAGCGGTTCTTCAGATCATTCTTTGGCCTCAACCGTTGGTAACTGACCCTTCGTCTGATTTCGTGCGAAGCCCTGGACTTCGTGCTCCCTAATCACAGAAGAACTGGGCAGCATTCTAAACAGCAGTCTCAGGAAGAGAGCACTGCGCCGAAGGGATTAGGTCCTTGGAAACTGAAGCCCAACAAAATTAAAAAGCATTTTCAGACGCCATAACCAAAATTTTTTAATAATCACATTGAATTTTTTATATTTTATTTTTATTTTAGGGAAGGGTCTACAGGGTGTTCGGGGTCTCACTACTAAATCGGACTCATAGTGATCCACCTGTTTACAACCTCCCAAGAGCTGGGATTACAGGCATGCAATTGCAGTCTTAACCCACCCCCACCTCACCCCGCCCCACCCCACCCCCTGGGTGGGCCGGCAGGCCAGGGATGGAACCCCAAAACCCCCACCCGCACCCCCACCCCGGGGCCCCGGGGCCAGCTTGCAGGTGCTTTAATCCGCTGAGCTATTTGGCCAGCCCTAATTATATTGAATTTTAAACTTAGATTGTTGAGACAAAATCTAAGATATGAAAGTACAATAAAGGGGTAATATATACTACATTTAAAGTTTATGTACATATATAAGGTATTTTTGATATAAAATATGTATACAAACACTGAGAATATAAATAAGACAAATTTTACATATAAGCACCAGCAAAATCTAAACAAAACTTTGATTTTAAATAATTAGAGAAAAAATAAGCAGTGTACCGCCAAAAGAGAAACAATAACCAATAAATGAAACAAAGTGGATTAAATTCACCTATTAAAACACTGAAACTTCCCAACAGGAAGGAAAGAAAATGCAACTATCTATATTTACACCAAATGCACATAAAATGAACAGAAGGGCTGAATATAAAGGAACATCTTTAAGGGCAACTCTTATCAAATTTTATAAGAAAAATCCCTTTTAATTTTAATAAAATATTTAAAACAAGAATAATAGAAACATTTCTAATTCCTTTTGTACATCCAGCATCAGGTAAGTCTGACTAGGTGCTCTGAGTTTGCAAAAACAAAACTTTAAAGCCCAACTCATCTATAAATACAGATGCAATATAATAATACAAAAACAATAACAGATGCTCTTTTTAAATGTTATTAAATCAGGTCTGGGGATGCAGCTCAGTGGTAGAGCATGTGCTTAGCATGCTAAAGGCCCCAGGTTCAATCCCCAGCACTCCCTCCCCAAGGGGGTCAATTCAATGCCAAAGGTATCAATCTATAATACAGCATATGTAAATAAAACTTTCTGGAAAAACTAGACTGGTTCTGTGTTGGAAAACAAATATGACTCACTAACTGCAAAGTGAACATGCTAAACTGGGTAAGGTGATGCCATGCCTGTGATTTCAGCACTTTGGGAATGAGCATGACCGGTGTGGTGAACTGACCACTGGTGGTCAACTCTGTAATACCCAGCTGAATTGAACCAGCATGGTACAGGGTGTGGGACGCCACCTCAGGACTGTTGCTAGCAGCATTAAAGGGACAACTGGAGAAGTAGAGAAACTGTTAGGGAGCTGTTAGTTGTCATGGAGCAGCTTGTCGCACTGACCTTCCCAATGACCTCAGCTGCTCTCACTGTCTGAGAATCTCAGGACCTTGTTATCACTGAGAATGGCTATGGTTCACTTTGGAAGAGACCTGGTCTTTACTCTGAGCATTGATTGCTTCCTGAATCTGGAGGGGAAGACAGTGCACTGTTCATTCTCCTGGAGAAGCTTGTCCTGCTGCCCATCCTGATATGAGCTTGGCTGTTCTCTTTACCAGAGGAGTTTAGAACTTCATTGTCCCTGAGGAGAGCTATGGTACTTTTCAGGGGAACTCTGGTCTTTACTTGGAGTATCACTTCCTGTCTCCAGTTCAGATCCCTCAGCCTGCTAGTACAGGTCCTTCATCCCAATGGCAGACTTGCTAGCTTCCATCACTGACCACTTCCATGGCTTTCCCACTACAAATCCATGAAACAGGAATTTGTGAGAATTGTCATCGGCTCTCAGCCTCCAAGTGGACTCTTGGGGGGCATTACCAAGGACTGTAGGTATTGGACTCATGCAGGACATTTCCATGGAATCGAGGCACTCATCTGGATTCTTTGGGTCTTTAGTGTGTGGACAGACTTTCTGTACTCTGCTTTGTTTTAGCTATTTATATATTTGGTACAGGCTCTCACTACACATCTCAAATTCATAGTGATCCTCCTGTCTCAGCCTCCCCAGTGCTGGAATTACAGAGGTATGCCACCATGCCTGGTTCTGGAACCAGCATGGTAGGTGGTACCAGGGATCAAACCCTAGTCTTTGTGCTTTTCAGGCAGGTCCTTAGACCACCAAGATATCTCACCAGCCCCTGAACTCTCTTTGTATATGATTCTTCACATGACTGTTCTCAAATAATCTTACACAATGTGTTTTGTATTATATTGTAATACAATACAGAACAAAACTCCAAACTCCAACAATAGGTTCAAGCCCCATCTGGTTAATTTAGCAAGTTAGTGAGACCCTGTCTCAAAATAAAAAATAAAAAAGGGATGCGAATATACATCAAGGCAAAGGCCTTGGGTTCAATCCCCTATGCAGGAAAAAAGTTAACATGCTAAATAAAGAAATGGCATTCCTAAAATCCAAACTCTAGAGCTATTTACTTGCTTAAATAAATTATTTCTGCAATCTCTATGACAGCCTTAGATTTATATTTTAAACTCCCATTAGTATGGGAGACCAGCCTGAACCATCAGTTGTGTATAGCCTTGTAACTCATCTGCCTTTCTTTTACCTTGTACCAAACAAAGCAGGTCATGCAGACTCTAGCAAAGTTAGAATGAGTCTGAGCTACACAAGGCCCTCCATCTCCAGTTGGCCTTCCTCCAGCCCCAGCAGAGATCTGCTGGGTACCTCCCAACAGTCAGTTCTTTCTGGTGCAACAGACTTTATGATGCAACTATGTGGGTAATGACTCTCAGTCCTTTCTGTTGCTACAGACAATCATGAAGGGAAAAATAAATTGAACTGTAAAAAAGGATGGTTTAGTTAAAACTATGAACATATTAGACCTTATAAAGATGGAGGCCATTTAAGACTGGATACCTATAATGCTATCAAATGACGATGTTCAGCTTACCTTTGCTATACTGCCAGCTCCTCAATTCTCAACCTTGCACTTCTAATGAAGGTCTTTTAATTAGATGATAAGCTCCTGGAGGTCAGGGGAAGGCTGCTGTGCATGCACTGTCGTGTTCCCAATGCACACTGTGAGTCTTCAATAAATGGTATTCTTTTAGGTGGGGGGGACTTGCGCTTGCCAGGCAGGCACTGGGCCACTGCACTATACCCCTGGCCCTTATAAATGTTTGTTACTGGAGAAAGACGCTTACCTTGAGTTTAGCTATCTGCCCCACAATAGAGCCGACGGCTCCTGCTGCTGCATTAATCAGCACCGTGTCTCCACTCTTCGCACCACAGATGTCCAGCAGGCCAAAGTAAGCAGTTATGCTAAGGGAAGAAAACAAGGTCATGTGAAAGGACATGTTTCTTTCCCCTATTACTTTTTTACAAACACCTTGAAGGCCTCAGCAGCCAAGGGCCAGGCCCTGGGATAAAAAAATATATTAAAAATATAGGAAGTGAGTATTACCAGCCACTCTGGGCTGCTTTCTTCTCTACTCCTAGGCAGGAATAAAGATGATGTGAACTAGGAAAAGAATGGAGAGTTGGATGGAGGGGGCTACACCTGGTCCATGCCAGGGCAAGTCTCAGAGTCAAAAGAAAATAGGTTCCCCTTATGCTTTGGGGATTCTACAATGGATAGTTTCTGCTGCATCACCACATAAGTCCAAGGGAGATGTCGAGCTCTATGGGGTGAAGCCACAGAGTAGATTCAATGCTATGCTACGTCTACACATGAAAGCATTACACAAAAAACAATCTTGAGTTTCTACAGCTCCAGAGAAGTAAATCTTGTGACCTTAAGCAGCCTGCTGAAGTTAGTCTGCAGAAAAGAACTACTGGGCCTTTAAAGATGCAGCACAGACAGCTCTGCTGAGGACTGAGTAGAGATACAACTACGTCGCGATGGGCTGAAGTGAGGGAAGGGACAAGGCTGAAGATTCAGTGGGAAAAGTTATATTTTATGCAGGAGGTATGCACAAGATCAACTTGGAGCAAGAGCAGGAAGTTCCTGTCCTCTTTCTGTCAGCACTGAAACTGTATTAACATTGGAGGTTGGCATCCACAGGAGGGAAAAGACAAAAGAAATCCTGAACTGATGGAGAAATCACTAAAGTTTTCTTTTACTAGAAAAATGAGGGCCTGACATAGATGTGAAGTTTAGCAGCAGAAAATTTTAAATTATATTTTTGCATCCTCAATGGAAGATATTTCCATATATAACAGAAATTATTCAGGCTCTGCCTCCCTTTGGGGCACATGAGAGTTGGGCATTGGTGGGGAGGCAGTGGTGGATGGAGGCAACCTTTTTCTGAGGATCTAAACGCAGCTGTGGGTGTCATGATGGCACTATTGTCAGCTTCCGACTGCATACACAATGGTGGTCCATAAGATTGTATCATCTAATGACACTGTAACTATCTCAGTTTGTGTTGGGTACATAATGGGATGTTTGCATCACGATGAAATAAAAATGATAGTAAGTGATGTGTGACTGTATCTTATGTTCCTTTCACACAGTGCCTTTCAGAAGATGGATACAACACCACTTCCCTCAGAATTAAGATGGAGTGGTTGTTGAAAATTTAGATTCTCCACTCGCACCCTAGACTCACTCACTCAGAAATACTTAGCTATGGGAAATCTGAATTTTAATAACATTTCAGGCTGTTTTTATGAATGCTATCGACCATAACCACAGCTTAAAGAACAGCGACGTTAGAATTTCCTGGGCAAGTTAGCCTAAGCCCAAAAGAGAAGCAGAAAATATATTTTCTAATTGTGTCATTACACCCATAGCAACTTGCATCTCCCTTCTCCAGGTACCTTTCTTGTATCTCCAGAGATCAGAATCTACCTCAGTTAGACATACTGATCTAAGATACACAAGGCCATTACTAAACCTCACTTCTTATTAAAAACAAAAGAGATAAGATGGAGAAGTTAACAAGAAATCTAAGTAGAAATTTAAAGATGCACTTTGTTCTGTTTTGTTTTTTGTATTTTAGGGAAGGGTCTACAGGATGTTCAGGGTCTCACTACTAGATCGGACTTGTAGTGATCCACCTGTTTACAGTCTCCCAAGAGCTGGGATTACAGACAGGTGCACCACCACCACGCCCCATCTCAATTGCTGTCTCAGCGCACCCCAAGGGGGGGGGCCAGCACAGCAGGCACAGCAGGCATGGGTGGGGATCGAACTCCCGGACCCTGCACCTGCTTGCAGGTACTTTAATTCCCTGAGCTATGTGGCTGGTCCTTTGGCCTAACAGGACCTTACAATCAACAATTTAGAAACAAGACATAGTTTGAATATTAAATTCCTTCAAAGACCAATGTGTTAAAAGGCTCATTTGCCAGAATAACACCAGGGGGAAGTGGTGGATTTTTCTGGAGGTGGGGCTTTCTGGGGGGTGGGTTCTGCAGGTCTTCAATGCTTGTACAGATCATGCTCCGTGTTGCTGCTGACTATTGCTTTCTTTTTATATCTGAGGATCTCGGATTTGATTTGCCTCCTTTCCTTTAGCTTCAAGGCTGACTTTGGTTGTAATGGCTTGTATCTGGGCATCTCCTCAAAACTGCATGTTCTCCCAAGAGTGGAGTTTTGAAGGTGGCTGGATTAGGGTGTGTGAATGGGATTAAGGGTGTGATACTAGAATTAAAGGTCTAGATAATGGTGCCCCACCCTGCATGTGGGAGGCACCAATTAAAAGGTTTACAGCCTGGATAGAATATAAAGGGAGAGAGAGAGAAGGCAGGCTTGGCACTGCTCCTTGCTGCCTTCTACCTGCCACCCACAAATTGTTTGTCCTCTACCAAGTCCCCCTGCCATGACACCCTAGCTTGGAGCCAGCCAATTATGCACTGAAACCTCTACAAACTGAGCTGAAGCAACCCTTTCCTCTGTTAAGTCTGGGTGTTGGGCATTTTGTCTTGGGAATGAGAAAAGTAACCAAGACACAGGCTACTCTTCTCTTTTTAAAATGCATTGTTAACTGAAAACTTTAAAAAATGTATATATAAATATGTATTATGTACAATATGTTTTGAAATACATAGTTATTTAGGTATAATGGAATGGTTTAATAAATCTAATTAACATACACATTTAGTTACAGTGGAAATAGCTAAATTGAGCTAATTAACACAAGTTACCTCATAGTTACCATTTTTGCAGCAAGAATGCTTCAAATCTACCTTCCTAGCACTTTTTAAGAACACAGCATGTTGTTGGTAAGTATAGTCACCATGCTGTACAATAGCTCTTTTGAATGTCTCCTGTCTGAACAAGTTCTATAGCTTTTGACCAATGTTTCCTCAGGCCCCAGGCCCCAGCCTTCAATCTCTGGTAACCACCATTCTACCCTCTGTTTCTGAGTTCATCTCTTTTAGATTTCTCAATAAGTGACATCATGTGGTAATTGTCCTGTGCCTGATTTATCTCACTAAATGTCCTCTAGGTGTCACAAATGTCAGGATTTCCTTCTTTTAAAAGGCTGTATAATATTCCTCTGTGTGTGCGTGTTCGTGTGCATGCATGCACACATGTATATCACATTTTCTTTATCCATTCATCTGCTAATGTATTTTAGGCCCTTCCTGCTTCCTTAGTCTTACTATCATCTCTAAGCAGCCTCTGACCTATATAATTCTCCAAGTCTCTGTTTGTTGACTAAGTTCTATGTAAATAGTTCTGGAAAACCAGTATGTCAGGTACTCAAACAAATAAAATGAAACTCACCCTGGCATGCCAATTGTCCCCAGGGCCAAAGACAGTGATAATGTATCTGGCCACCATGTAGGCAGTTTTTCCAGTCCTTTCCCATCAGAAATGAAGTGTGTTGTCCAGCCTGCAAGAGCCAGTACAATAGTTCCTTTTGGGAAGGCTGAGTTTTTACTTTCCACAACTCTGAAAGGAAAAGCACATGAAGACAAATGACACATCTTCCCTTTCATGGGAGTTGGGGTGCTTTGTAGTGAATGTGCAGCAAGGGCGTGCAAGTTGACATTCCATGGCTGATGCCCTATCACCTCTCGGCATCTTAATTCTCAGCCATTGGCAAAGGGGCCAGCAGAGAAGAACTCTTTCCACTGATCCGGCATCTGTCCCTGTGCTCACCCACTTCTCTTCCATTTAATCCAGAAGGCTCCATCCATTGGTTCAAGTTACCCAGGATATCATCCTCTCTTCTTTAGAGGTCACCCTCTATCCCTCAGTCCTGCCTTCTCTTGAATCTTTAAGTTTCTTCTGTAATGTCCTATATAAGCATGTCCAACTCTGCCATTTTATAATCCCATCCTTTTCTTTCCTCTTTTTTACCTTCTACAGACAAACTTTCTCACTTCCCATTCTCTTTACAAGCTGCTGTTATGACCTCAAAGCTTCCCCCAAAGACTTACATTGCAAACTCAATAGCCTCCAATCCTATTGCACGTGGGTTTTTGGGTTCCTCTTTTCCTACCTCTGATGAGCTGGGTTCCTAGTTCTTACCCCGCCTATTTCTATGCACTTATTCTACTGAGCTCTCTTCCAGGCCCCAACATTTAGTTTTAATCAAGGTAGATGATATATTTAAATAGTATTCACAAAAGATTTCTATGACATTTTAAGTGAGCATAAGCAGTCTGCTGAAGGGCATATAATCCTGCTTAAAAATACATAAACTGGGCCAGGGAGATGGCTTGGTAGAAAAAGTGCTTGCCTGGCAAGTGCAAGGGTCTGAGTTCAATCCCCAGCTCCAAAAAAAAAAAAAAAACCATAAACTACCTGCACTGAACAATTTTTGAAATAATAATACATTAATAACAACTGACTTTAAGGCTCAGATAAGGGGTATCTCTCAATTTCAAGATAAAAACTCTTTGTTTTATTTGAATTTTTATACTAACATGAACTAGATAAATGCAATTTTAAAGAAACATAATAAGGCTAACAGAGTGCAGCTGAAATGACAATTTCACATTCTTCCTTCTTTTTCACTTAATCAGGAAAAGAGTAAGATTTCCTAAGTCATTTCCAGGATTAAACAGCAAGTAAACCACACAGGCTGAAGGACCCGAAGGAGCAAGGGACCGAGACAGAGCTCAGAAGGAAGGAAAGAGGCCTATTTTCCAAGCATTGGAACACATGGAAGTTCTTACTTGGCCACTTGTTCCCCCATCATCATGTCACCCGCCTTGATCTTTTTGGATGCCATTCTGGAAAAAAGAAAAAGAAAAAAAAGAAAGAAAAATTTATTCTTAGTGCAAAAAGCACATGGAAAAAACTTTTTTGAATTTTTAGCTAAACAGAAAATCACTTGGGTAGTATGTCCAAAAACAAAATCCACAAGGGTAGCACATACACTACCAGAAGAAGTACTTCTGCTCTGTGATCTTCAAAGCACTCTACTAGTGTTTTTCTATGAAGGAAATTAAGACTCTTACGACCATGTTCAAGTATAGATGAGTTTCAATCAGTGACTTAAAATATACACCTCGGCACCACATAGCTCTTGTTAATACAAAACATTAAGGGTTGCTCATTAACATTTTTAAACTGTGTTTTTCATTTGAGATTGTAATCTTTATCGATCAACTGTGAAAAAGCATTCAAAAGAATGATAGCTACAGGTATATTATTTGCATTGGCCAAAAAGTACTGAGGTATTAGTAGCCTATGAAGACATTGAATTCACTTCCCTCTCTGAATTATTTGCTGTGTTTACAAATTTGAGTTAACTACTGATTACGTATATCAAAAGACTACAGGCCATTGGAAGGAAAGGATAACTGATTTTAGTTTTAGCAATTTGCCCAAATAATTTGCAAGTAATGAACTGGTCAAGTGGGAAGTTAGCTTCTTGTTTTCCTTTTTTCGGCAAGAAAATCTGATGAGAAATAAATAGCAAACTATGCACAGCAGACTAGAGATGGTTGTAAAGGGAAAGGAACAGGCTAATCTCTTGCCAGCCTTCTCAGATCTCTGCTGATAGAAACTGAGCATCCATGAACCCCATCACTGATACAAACCAGGAGAAACGGGGAAATGACAGTGTTGACTTTTTAAAAGATGAGTCACAAGGCTCACTGGTCATTGTAGAAACTCTAAAAGAAATAAAATTCTTCAATGATATAAATAAAAACCTTTTAAACACAAGCTAATGCATTTCATCATAGTATCCAATATACAACATAAGAAGGTTTAGGAGGGAAAATAATACCTCATGTAAGGGTCCACAGAGAGAAATAAGGCTTGAAGCAGGATCTCTAGAAAAGAAAGCATTACACAGACAGTTAAAACTCAAGCCTGATCTTTTTTTTTTTTTTTTTTAGTTATAAATAAACACAAAATGCCTTTCTGCTTTGGGATTGTATTCTTATGTGGTTTTGTTGTTGTTGTTGTTGTTTGTTTTGTTTTGTTTTGTTTTGTTTTGCTATACTGGGGATTAAACTCAGACTCTTATGCTTGACAGACAGGTGCTTATGCCGCTGAGCTATCTCCCTGGCCCTTGTCCTCTTATCTGTATCTGTGCTATTGTTTTTATTTTATTTTACTTATTTATTATTTTTTAATTAGATAACCATAATGATCACATGCATCATAGGGAATTTGTACCTGTATATAATATATCTTGATTTTTCCTTTTTCTTCATTTCCCTCCCCTTTCCTTCAACCCCTCATCCCTGCTTTATTTACAGAAGCTTTGTTTCCATTTTTCCCTTCTTTTCAGGTTTTTTTTCTCTTGCCCCTTTCTCCCTTTCCCCTTCCCACCAAATCTGCAACCTCTATGTTATAATGCTCACACTGGATTTCATTAAAGCCTCATTTAGTAAGAAGAATCAGCATTTCAGTGGAATAACCCTCATGGACATGTTTTCTAGAATTTTGCATCTGAATACGGGCCAACTCAACAGAAATGAGATTTGATAACCTTGCCATTCAACTTGATTACATCCCTTTTTCTCAAAAGCTTTCCTATCTTAATGGGTTTTTTTTGTTGTTGTTGTTGTTTATTTGTTTGTTTTAATGTACTTAGTACAGGTCTACAGGTTCTCACTACATAGATCTGACTCATAGTGATCCTCCTGTTTTCAGCTTCCCAAGCACTGGGATTACAGGCACGCACCGCCATGGCCAGTCTCAGTCGCTGTCCAGCATGCCTTGGGGGCAAGGCCAGCAAGGCAGGCTGGGGACCAAACCCCAGTTCCCATGCCTGCCTAAGCAGGTGTTTTAGTCCGCTGAGCTATCTGGCCAACCCAAAAGCCTTTCTATCTGCAAGACTCCTTACAGATACCTCTTATAGTTGAGCTCTGCAGATGGGTACTGGGTGGTGCTTACCCCAGTAGTATGATTATTCTTAAGAGGGCAGAGAAGATGTTCCCAAAGTCTGGTTAAAGGCTTAAAAGAGTACTTCGTCAAGCATGAATTTCAGTTGTCAAAGGAAACAATAGGAACTTCTAGGAGGACACCAAAACTTTATACAGAGGACCCTGAAAAAGTCTGTTGCAGATGCCAAATGGCTGCAAATACTTCTCACAGCTGTGTGCCAGCTCTTGCCCTCACCTTCCATCAAGAAATCTGTTTCTAGGGGCTGAGGACATAGCACTACATCACAGTACTTGTTGAGCATGCATAAAGCACTGGATTCAATCCCCAGCTCCACAACAAAATGGAGTAAATGTGGCTTCCCATCCCTTGAAATTGGTCTTGGCAATGACACTTGCCTTGACCAATAAAATACTAAAAAACATGATACAAATAGGAACTGGAAAAGCTCTTGCACATGGGAATCACCAACTCTCCTTGCTGCAGATCCACAAGATCACCATGAGCACAAAGCTCACACTAGTCTTCCAGGAAGAGCTCAGAGATAACTGAGGCCCATATTGCAGGAGAAAGTCTGCTAACCACCAGATACAAGACTGAGGCCCATCTTAAAATAACCATTTGGCCCAGTGGAAGAATCATTCAGTTTAACCCAGCTTAAACTGCCAACCCTCAGGACCATGAGCTCATAAACAATTGCTTGAAGTCACTAAACTTTGGTGTAGCCTGCTGTGCTCAAAGGGTAACAGATAGTCTCTTCCAACTCTGAAATCTTACCTCCATTTTTTAAGGGTGGGAGCTCAGTAGTCTTCAACTCAAAGTCACTCTGAGTAGGGCTGCCCTGAAAGTGCTTCTTCAGGATCCAGCTCTTAGCATTGACCATCGTGAGGCTCCTAGAGCACAAGAAGCATGTAGTCAGATACCACGAAGTCACTGGATTGCACTGAGGCCGGACAGCACAACCACAATGCTTTTCATATTGTCTAACACCAGCCACATTCATTTAGGATATAGTGTTTCTGTGCTGAGATAACCACTTCATAAATATGATCATATTTTTTAATTTTCTTTTTGTAGCCGGCTCAGCCTGCCCTGGGGGCAGAGGTGGCACTGGTATGGGGTGCCAGGGATCAAACTGTGATCCCTGTGCTTGCCTAAGCTTGCTAAAACAGGCCCTTTAGACAGCTGAGCTATCTCACCAGCCCAACAGGATCTTATTTAATTCCCCTAACTTTTCTATAAGACAGGCATTGTTATTATGAGCATTGTACAGATGAGGAAACAGGCTTCAAGAAACCTCCAAGGCAGGGTACAATGTAAGTTGACACAGAAATTCTTCCCACTCACCACCCGGGCTACCATTTCTCTAGGGCGCTGCTAGCTACAGGGAGTGCAAACGCTTCCAGTGTATCATCTCTTATAAAATCCTCAGTATAAGCATCAAACACAAAGAACCAAACAAATCCTGCTCCTCTGAAAGCCACTGAGTGGCACTGCTTCTTCACCCAACTTTCAGACCCCACATTCAGGAGCGAAATAGACCCCATCTCTATGTAAAGTTATTTAAGAGAATGTGTGTGTGTGTGTGTGTGTGTGTGTGTGTGTGTGTTTTCTGTATCAGGGATCCAATTCAGGACCTTGCGTTTGCCAGGCACTGAGCTATCTCCCCGGGCCTTAATTAACAGTACTGATTTCCAACGTCCAACTATCCTGCATCGCAGAGAAACACACGCCCATCCTGGTGAAAACTACATCCGAGCCCGCAGCACAGGAGATTTTTGCCCTGTACAGTGCCTGGGAGAGGGGACACTTGGTCTGGGACACTTCCACAAGGCACATGGAGTGGTGGGAGCAGCCAATCCAAAATCTAGCTCTTCCTTCTTCCTTGTCTTCTATTTTAAAGTTTATTTTAAATTGACAGTTCCATAGGCCGACAGGGTACAATGTGACGTTTCGATATAATATGCAAAGTAGAGTGACTGAATTGAACTAATTAACCTATCTATGCTCTATGTATTACTTCTATGGTGAAACATTCGGAACTGTAGTTGTTTGCAATATGCATTGTTATCAGCTACAGCTACCTGCCAGATAAACCTCAACAATCTACTGCAGATTGCTCCTATGCCCCTTTGAACAAACATTTCCATTCCCTCGCCTACCCTCTCCAC